TTACTTATCTTTTAATCAATTAAAACATTCTTTTTAATTAAAGGCAACTGAATTAATTGATAATTTATTTGTATAAATTTTTCCTACAATTTATAAAGTAAGCAACTGAGATTTCTGTTCATCAATACTTAGTTATTAATATTTGAACATTTATCATATGGCTAAATGCCTGGTATCCACTATTGTTTATGAAACTGATAAATTCAGTATTCTGATTTTTATATGCTCTTTTTTTGATGTCCAAAAATTCCTCTTGATTGCCTAGAGATTTGTTAACTTTTATGAAGCAAAAATAAAACTGTGTTAATACATGTAATTTGTAAATCTGTTATCTTAACAGTAAAACTCATTTGCATGTTCTTGTTAATTGCCAATATCTTTTGCATGTACCAGTAAAAGTAAGTTGGAATATCAAGAGTATTTAGATTTAAAAAGATCTTTTTAATTTGAAATTTAGGACAAAGAAATAACAGAAACCAAATCACCTGAAAAGACCAAGACTTCAGAGAAGTCCACTGATGATTCTGAGAAGAAGGAAAAAGAAAGTTCAGCTAACAAAGATGGAGATCTGTCTGTGAATCAGGAAGGTCTGAGCAACAAGAAATCAGATAGCCATACTTCTTCCTCAGAGAACGAAAGAAGTTCCCAAGCTGATTTAAAGGCAACAAAATCAGACAGAGGCAAACCCACCAAAAAAGAAGAATCATCTAAAGAAATTGATACCAAGAAAAAGCCATCAACCACTCCAGCCAGGAAAACAGCTGAAGTAGAGAAGAAAACACCTGAAGGAATGGAAGGCATAACATCAAAAGAAGGACCTTCTAAAGGTGCAGCTAGCAAAATAGAAGGTGATAAGGAAAAAACAAACAAAAGCATGGAATTCAGAATTCCAAAACTGTCTTCTGCCAGAAAAACAGTGGATGGAAAGGAAAAAGGATCTGGTGGCATGGATTTCAAAATTCCGAAACGTTCTTCTACCAGTCCAGCCAGAAAGACAGCCGATGTGGAGCAACAACCAGCAGAAACTAGAGGAGACATGCCTCCCGTCTCTGATAACCTTGCAACCAAGCAGAAGAGGGACACCTCTGTTCAAAAAGTGGAGGATTCAACAAATACCCCTTCAAGTTCATCAGTCAAAGAGGTACCTCAACAGACCTCAGAGAAAACTCCCTCTCTACAGGCCAAGCCAGATCCCCCTGTGACAAAAGAGTCAGCTTCTGAGATTCCTCCTTACAGCTCTGATGTTCCTATTGGTGGGTATATAATATTTGAATGACTTCAGCAATATCTGTGGCTCAAATTTTTTGTGATTTGACCCTTCAATGGCATATCAATTTCTTTGCTTCCTTGCTGAGATTGCTGTGTTGAGAAGGGTAGATAAGAAAAATCTGTTGTTATATTCTTCTTCCTTTGATAAAACTGCATGGTTCTTTAAAAATGAGATATTCATGGAATTTACATTATACAGTATAACTAAAGATCTATGATGTGTCAATTTTGATTAACAGAAATTTTGGTATTTCATGTCCACAACTATTCCTTATCGTGTCCAGATCAAAATTAAAATTTTCCTTGAATCAATTGCTTGATAAAGAGATATTTCTATTATCTCACCTCGTTCAAGTTAAGGAGAGCTTAAGTCACATGCCTCCAGCTTTAGATGTAGATATATTTTTAAAAAATATTTAATGAAAGCCCATATACATTTGGTATAAGGCTCTCCAGTGAACATTTGTGGTGGTGAGCTTTGTAATCTTGAATGACTTTTGATGAAATTACATTTGCTAGGTTTCATTTGCTTCTTATTTTCATAACTCATCTACTGTTGTACTTTTCTACAGGTCAAAATTATATAGTTCCTGTGACTGGATTTTACTGCAAGCTTTGTAGTAAATTTTACAACAATGAAAAGGCAGCTAAGGAGTCCCATTGTCAAACCAGGGCCCACTACGATAAATACAAGGTAGAATCTCTAAATGTGAAAGAAAGAAAATGTACCTTTCTTCAAATACCATTGTTCAGAATATTCTTTATAAATATAGTATTAGAATAAACATGCTAAAAATGCCAGTTTTCTCTGACATGCATTGTATGTACTTGTACAATAGGCACTAAACTTAATTGTTAAAAGTGCTATCTACCATAGCATAAACAGGTTTACACTATAGTAGAAATTGTATATTTATGAATATTTATACTGTATTTCAGAGTGCCATGATAGGGCTGAAGACACCTGTAGGTGGGGTTACCAAAAGTGCAGAAAAAGGTGAGGACCAGTCAGCTTCCTCAATTGTCATGAAGGATGAATCTAAATCCGGTGTGGAGAGTCTACAGACTGACCCCGAGGGTAAGGAACAGAAAGTACCTGCTGTTGATGGTAATATATACATACATTATAGTTAACCTAAAATATTTTCCAAAATTATTAAATTTTGTTTTTTGTTATCAGTAAGATGGAAGTTTTCCAAGATGTTATACTGTTTTATAAACTTGTAGGAAGTACAAGAGGAAGAGCTGGATCCCATGCCAACAGAGGCCGCAGGGGCAGGAAGTGATGTCATCAGTTCAGGCCATATCTTGTCAACTGTACCATTCAGTTTTGCATTCGTTTTGTACACCAGTATGAGATTTTGTACTGTTTTTTTTAAGGAAAGCAATTCTTTTACGAGAAAGAACTTGTTATTGTAAGATGGCTCTGTTTAGAGAGTAATCATTAACAATAAAGTATTAACTGTCTTCATTGGATAAGAGAGAAAGATGACATAGGTATTTTGTTCGACAGAATTTAGTATTATGTATATATTAACATTTTGTATATACATTTTGTTTAATGGCAGCATGTTTTTTTAAATGAGGACTGGATTTTTTTTTCTATTTCCTGTCAATGCTTTTCATGTTTATACTAGACATATTTCATTCTTTTTGAACATGTACACATTTTTCATGCTAGAACTGTTGTTAATATAATGTGGTCCACAATTTTTTTTTTAATGTCATGTTGAGGTTGAATAGGCTTTCCATTACAGTTTGTTTTAAATATGAAAGGTTTTGTAATTTTTGATTTCTAATTTGATTGCAGAGTTTTCATGATATAGTATTGATTCACAGATTGAGAGTCTTGAAAATCACATATAGGTACTTTCAGAAAGATAATAGATGTTACCATTGTTATCATTCAGTTGATGGTTTCAATGAACAATTTATATGCAAGTGAAATGAATACAACTAACTGATAAATTAAACTCAAGAATACAAGTGCTGGTCCATAGTCTGATTTGTTTGGTTGTTTTTCAAAGTTTCTATTAGTTGATGCATTACTTTTACACTTTTTTATGACATATCACATGTACTACTAATAATATTAACTGCTGGTTGTAAGTGAGGAGTTTGGAGTACAATGCTGGAAGACAATTCTTTAAAAAGATTGTGTGGTATGACTTGAGAAAATTGTTCTAGTTTTTATTCACATGATTAATAAAATAAATCAAACTTCTTTCTTTCAGAATTTTAAATAGTACAATTTTGGTCATCCTCTGACTTTCAGTACGGTGTGGCATTCTCGACACCATGGAATTAACGTCTCTCAAATGGCAAATAGATTCTCATTAGTTAAGAAATATAGAACAATTAGCAACTTTAAGTTGTTGTTGACAACTATGAAATGACTTAAGCCCCACCTCTACTGTACGAAATGCTGTCATTGGATAATATGCTACACTTGTGACATTCGCCCGCATTTCTATCCCATGTATATTTCAACAGTGAATGAAAGGCTGTGTAAATTTCAGACACTAATTTTGTAATGTCAAGAAACAAGTATTCACGAGGTTATTGAAGTTTTTTTAAAAACAGTTTTCGGATCTTCTGAGCCAAATGCTAAACGAATGAATGCTATGACCATTTGTGCAGTATGCATTAGCTTTTTAGAATATTGGCTATATCTCAAGAACCCCTTGGGTCATTTTTTGTCAAATCCTTGGTGTTGGTGAAGGCTCGAATCGTACTAAAAGTAGGAATATGACCCTTAGGCAAAAGGAGATAATTAGGAAAATTAAAACAAAAGTACTGGTTGGTTAAAAATCTTTCAAGAACCACTTCTCAGATTATCACCAAATATACACACAAGAATGAGGATATGTTGTAAATTGAAAATTATTCAAGACAAACTCTGGGACAAAGGATGAGGTCTCAATATCACTATAGCTGACCAAATATCAGGCTTGGTTGAATCCAATGTAAGCCAAAGTGACCCAATTTTTTTTTTATTTTGCCGGCATTCCTTTTTAAATTGATTTCATAGGCATATTATGGAAACTTAAAACGTTTCCGATTACCAAACTTTGTCAGTTGATGCATCTTGGGTTCTCAAAGTATCTAAACTTAGCCAAAAAGTAGGTCACTGTGACGTACGTGTATTTTATGGCTAAATCCGTCTCAAATCATTTAAGGGCTTTTTTTCAGATACTGAAAAGTTTAGAATCATTAAACTTTTAAATTGAAGCTGGGGCCTACAAATATATTAATCCAAAAGTAGTTTACAGTGACCTTCTTTTCAATCACCTGAGCTGAAAGCTTAAGCCAAGAGTAGATCACAGCGACCAACTTTTCAATTCACCTGAGCTGGAAGCTCAAGCAAGCTTTTCCAATCACCTAGTGTCCATCTGTAAACTTTTCACATTGTCAACGTTTCTCAAGAAACTTGTAAGGAAGCATCCTGGGTAGTGTAGATTTTAAATTGTTGAAATCATGACCTACATTTTATGGCTATATATAATTATTTTGGTTAAATTTTAATTCATAGCACTTTTCCCCCAAAAGTATCTAAAAATATAATTTAGAGTGAATTTCAAACATAAGTATCATATAGAAATGAATGCAAACATAACAATTGCATATTTATTTTTGCACAAGTTGCAAAAAAAGCATCATTCAGTCATCAAAAATCAATAAAGAAGCATTATGCAAGATTTATCAAAATCAAATCCACAATATGAATACCCCGGTAGTATTTATGAAGAATACATAACAAGCATTGGGAATGATAATGGTCAGCAGACTGAAAATATACACATTATTACATCTTCTGAATTTATTATCCAATATGGATAATGTTTCAAATTCACAATAAAAAATAACTGTTACACAGCAAGTTTTTTCATTTCCTTTTCTTGAAGAACCGTACTTTTAAAGATATGAATGTAGTTCTATTGATCTGTCACACCAACTTTATAAAATTCACTGAACCGTGATGTTAACTCCACTGCATCATTATAAAGTCCCATGTCTGAAGTGTAAAAGAAAGTTAATGTCAACAGTGCATGATACCAGTCCGGGGACAGTTAAATACAGTCAAACATCATCTCAAATTTGTTGGAAACAAGAAATAAAGTTTTGATATATATCCAAGCATTCAAGATACTTCTGGAACTTCTGACTATGAAATATCCCTGGTATTCAAAATATTTGTGTTCGAGACATCAAACTTTCACTGTATATTCACATATATACAATTCATCAATTTACATTTAATAAATTTGCCATATTCTTACCAAATGTATCACTTATTTCCTTGGGGAAAGCTATGTAGTTTTGACAATGAATGTTGTTCTGTGCATCCACATTCCCGTGGACTTCAGTTAATCCTGAAACATACTCTCCAAGCTGAAACACAAAACAGGCCGTTTTATATTTACCAAGGTGTCAAGTCAATGAATGATGCTGACATTTTTTGATTTTTATGGATTGATTTTTTAATATTTCATATTAAAAAATCAATACCATCAAATTAAAGATCTATTGAACTTGTATTCAAAACTTTTTCAAACTACTGTAAACCAACTTTTATTCGTGTGCGAGAAATTTTCGCGAAGTTCGTGAGAGCCTCCTCATCACGAATATTTCTCGCCGCGAACCGCTTATTAAAGTGTATGTGTCAATAAACAACAGATCTAAAAAGACTTGATTGCGAAAATTAATCGTCGCGAACTAGTTAATCCCTAGTAAATCGCGAAATAAAGTCGCAGCGAATTAAAGTTGGTTTACAGTAGTTTGCAAAATAATTTGCTTTATTTACTTTTTAACTACTTAAGATGACAAGTATAACTGTGATAAAATAACACATCTGCCTTTTCTGAATATCCCAATTGTTTGTATAAATTTTATTATTATCTATAATTTAAGGTGTGGTGGTCAGCCGGGTTTGATCGCCTGAGGCCAGATAGCTCAGTCAGTATATCACCTGACCAGATTTTCAGGGGCCCGGGTTCGAATCCCTGTCTGGTCCACTGCATTTTTCTCCTCTCCCGTTACAAAGGACAACCCATTAATTCTCAAACTTTTAAAGCACACGATACTGGTTTGAACTGTTCCTAGCTTGAAGGATTTTATACTCACAGGCTCCTGCATAATTATTCTGATATCTTGACCATCACTTGTTGACAGGGTGAAAGCTGTCCCATTGCTGTCAACCTAAGAAAGAACAATATCCTAAAAATATTGATACATGTAAATTGTTGAATCTAAGAGTGCAACAATAAACTGTTTGACGGTAAACCGCAGTTAATTTTTCCACAGTTCAATTCACAATACGTGAAACTGATATCACAGTTGGATTCAATAGGTCTGTAATTATCCGCATTGTCTGTTTTGGTTCCTTGTTTTTTTCAATTTCAAAATGGCTTCCGAACAAAATGTGAGGTCAATGAAACAGCATTTAAACTTGTTTCCAGCCTCATATTTAACGGGTTGACGGATGTTAAATCACTTTCCTGATGTTAGTATAATGAACATTTGATAAAACCTTTAAGATTTAAGTATATGATGTCAAATGTCTGACTTTTTAACCCAATGTCATGTATCATGATATGTATCATATCGTGAAATGAGTACTGTGATATGTATCGTATCATTGGGTAGGCTTATTGTTGCACCCTTAGTTGAATCATCTATATTCATGGATATTCATGGAGGGCAACTCTGGGAATTGCCTAAACTTAAGAGGTTTGGGGGTATGTTAAACCTTGTTTTCGTTCATGAATATATACAAAAGAAAGATGGCAAATAAAATTAATATTGTGAAAATTTTTATTGATATAGCTAACATAAAGTCTCCTAATGTAGGTAAATAAAGCTTGAGGCACGGCGTGAATAAGTATGATCACTCACACAGTGTTCAATATAATCCAAGATTCCTCCGACTCTAACCCCCGCTTTTATATTATGACTTGTGCGGGGGAGAGTCAGAGTGGAAGCCATATTAGAAAGTGGAAATTCAGTGACACCAGCTGGTGTCGCAACTCTGCCTACCTATTACAACTTGCTATCTGGGTTATTGCTTTTTATTTAAGTGTTTTGATGCGGATTTATGATATTTATTGCCAAAATAAAAATTTTTAATTTTTGCACTGTAAATTTATAGCCCATTTGGGATATTATATCCCAAACGGACTATTATATCCCATTTGAGCGATTGGTCCCAACCTGTTAAATCTGAAAGTCGAATATCTTTGGATATGGGGTAACCCATGTCTTAATCCGAGATTCCTCTGACTCTAACCTAGCTTTTATATTATGACTTGTGCGGGGGACGCACAAGTCATAACATAAAAGCGGGGGTTAGACAGGTTGGGACCAATCGCCCAAATGAAATATAATAGTCCATTTGGGATATAATATCCCAAATGGGCTATAAATTTACAGTGCAAAAATTGAAAATTTTTATTTTGGCAATAAATATCATAAATCCGCATCAAAACACTTAAAAAGGAATAACTTTTGGTTGACAAGTTTTCCTGTATGTCCATTGTTTAGAAGATCGATCCCTCGGAAGTTCCTTAACTTCTTGGGGATCAATCTCACAAACGGTAGGGTTGCAGAAAAACTTGTCAACCAGAAGTTATTCCTTTTTAAGTGTTTTGATGAGGATTTTTGATATTTATTGCCAAAATAAAAATTTTCAATTTTTGCACTGTAAATTTATAGCCCATTTGGGATATTCTATCCCAAACGGACTATTCTATCCCATTTGGGCGATTGGTCCCAACCTGTTAGAGTCAGAGGAATCTCGGATTACCCATATCTATTCTTGTCATGAATGAGATTAAAGAATAAAGTTGAAAACCATTACTGCATCAAAGTGTGATTTTCTACACATCCTGAGAAAAATGATAATTCAAGAAATATGTTCGATTTGGTGGACAAATAAAGCTACATCAGGTAGGTAAATAAAGCTATGTAGCTAAATCTGACGAATAGACCTGAAGCCCTTTTTTTGACATACTTACATCTTTAGCGTTTCCAAGTACACAAACACATCGTCCCTGAAAACTTGACAACATTTTCCCGTTCACCCTTGGTTTAGAGAAATCAGACATGTTTGGATGTAAGAAACAAAACAAAACGGTTATACGGTCAGTTGAGATGAGAAACCGCGGGAAATTATTGTTCAATGTTTGTGGGACGCTTTAAAAATTGTTCCAAACCTAACCCGACTTAATTATGGTCAATGATAAAAGAAAGTACGAAAGAATAACACGACTAACGTTAAATTTTTAAAATACTTTAACAGATTACAGAAAATAGTTTGAGATCAAGAGAATTCAAACTTACATTTACAACATGCATATTTAGAGGAAGAAAAACTTTCGACAGAAAATGGAAAAAACATGTTGGCAAAACTGCATACAAACTATACTTGACGAAGTTATATTGGTACAAATGCAAATACATGTACATCATTGAAAATAATTTGAAAAAGCATTCTGAGAGTATAGTTTTAGGGATATGATAAAATTCCTTGAAAAGGGCAATGGCAAATTACCATTCTACAGCCAATTAATAAGTCAAGGAAATCTAAACAAGCTTGAAATTCAACCATAATTAAAAATTCCCATTTCCAAGAACCTTCGTTCTTTTTTGACTCGATGGAGAATAAGTGTCCACAAATTACAGACAGAGGTTGGCAGATATTGTAACCCAAGTATATATACCAAGAGATGCTAGATATATAATAATTGTTTTAATTGTCAAACTGTTGATGAAGATGAACATCATTTTTATTTTGTATGTCCTCTTTATAAACTACAGCACCAAGACGTGAATTTTGTATACTTTTTAATAATACATAACGTTATATATCTTATGAAATTCTTAATCCAACAGATTTTAAATCTACAAGAAATATTTGTAAATTCACAGGTGATGCATTTAATATATGAAAATATATGTGACTGTATATTTGTTTACTGTATGTATGACTTGCACCACATGTTTTTTTTTTTTGTTTTTTTTTTTTTTTGTTTTTTGTTTTTTTTGTGAAATTAAATAAAATTACTAGTATATATAATACTGATAATATAATAATATGTTTATTCACCAATCAAGGGCCCTCAGAGGGCATGAACAAATTATTGCAAAATGATTACATTGATTACAATTGAATACTGTATTACATATACATAATAACGTTGCGCACGATACTGGTGTTACTTAACGTTACGCTTATAACGTCACAAAAACGTAACATGATGCAACAAGTGCAACGTTATATTTTTACAATGTATCCCTTTGATTTATTTTTATTCTTTCACCAAAGATTCCTGTTTAATTTTTTTTTAAGTGGGAGGGGGTAATGCATGTTCACATAAACACGTACCATTACACGTATTAGTACATATTTACAATTGTATTTATATGATTAAAAATGAATATAGTTTCAATTTTGTCTACATGATGCAAACATTTGTAATATGACTTAGTTATTACGTTTGACATGGAGAAGTGCAAAACCACAAGTTGTATCATCATGAAAATGTAGGATTTGTTACATATTCATAGTATAGTCTCACACGGGATCCAAAGTATAGAAAACCACAGGATGATAAAAAAAAATAATAAATATTAAATAATTAAAAATTGAACATTTTTGTAATAATGGCAGTATTAAAAAAATAGATATGGTGTCATTTAAGATGTGCAAATGGAAAAATGACATCAAATATAGGCATCGTAGGCTTTGGATTCATTTATTGTTGCTAAGTAGTCGTATCTTAACAAAATGTGTTTGTGAAACACTGATGCATGCGTATGATATATAGCTTATGGCAAGGGATGATTTAAGGGTTCTCATCTTTTTAAGTAAAGACGAGATCACTTGTGGGTTTCCAACAATAGTAGTATAAACCGCCTAGCTAGTGCGGAAGTGACGTCATAACCGGAAGTGGCTGGAACTGGTCTAGCGGAAGCGGAAGTGGGCGGAAGTGGTCTAGCGGAAGTGGGCCCTAGCGGAAGTGGTCTAGCCAGAAATGTCCTAGCCGGAAGCAGGCTGGATGACCGGGTCAACTGAGTGGAGTGCTAACCCTAACCCCCTATCCCTAACTAGCCCTAACTAACCCTAACCCCCTAACCCTAACCCTAACTAACCCTATCCCCTAACCCTAACCCTAACCCTAACCCTAACTAACCCTAACCCCCTAACTAACCCTATCCCCTAACCTATCCCTAAATACAGGGTGTGTTTACACTATACGTAAGTACTACGTTTTGTTTATGCTGACTACACAGGTAATACTTGGCAGCGATTCAAGTCAGGGGGGCCCGCAAAAAATGTGACTAACAGGTAAATAAAAAAAAAAAAAAATATGCTGACTACACAGGTAAATACTTGGCAGCGAGCCAAGTTTGTTTAGAGCCGTGTGCAAAAAATATGCTGACTACACAGGTAAATACTTGGCAGCGAGCCAAGTTTGTTTAGGGCCGTGTGCAAAAAAAAAAAAAAAAAAAAAAAATGCTTACCTATGCATTATGACGTCATCCACTGTATATAAATACGGTTTTCTCCGACTTTGGGTTCATTTTACTCTCAGAGCCATCACCTGATAGACATGGATTCTACTAGAGAAAAACAGGTACAGGCTCGACGAATATTGAAACGAAAAAGTACCGAGAGAGAAATAGATTTACCACCTAAAGTATTATCACATGAGACTAGCTGAAAAATGGACCTCTCCAAAATTTAAAGCGCATGAAAATAGATATGTCGTTCATTTCGATGAATTTCCAGAAGAAGAAGAAAGCACAGCTTTCCTTCTACGATTATTCAAAAACATGTTACAGGACTTCAAATCGAAAATGCAGTGTGATCCTAACGATTACCTTCGCCTGAACATACGTCACCCATCTTTGGATTCAGACATTTCTTACCAGTTTATGCAATGTAAAAAATTAAACGAAGACGTCATTTTTAAAGAAATAGAACGTGTGCAACAATCCAAAAAGGAGTTCAAAATCGGCGACGGCTCCACGGAATTCGATCTGTTACACATCGAGAATCCCCAGGGGAGTGGTGGAGACAGAACCAAACATCTACAACTGGATAAAGAAACTTTCAAGAAAAATAAACAATCCATCGTTCGGATCGACAATCCCCATGATAAATTTTGTTTGGCTAGAGCCATCGTCGTCACTCGATTACACAGTCAGAAACCCGATCATCCAGACCCGGAATGGGAAAAACGTTGGCTCCGTATGAGGTCAGGCGATAAATACTTAGACCAGAAACGAGAAGCCATAGCCCTCATGGAACAGGCCGGATGTGATATCACTCAAGCTTGTGGAAATGCAGAGTGGCCGAAATTACAAGAGGTATTAGCTCCTCAGTATCGTCTGAAAATATTTCAGTTCAAATCTACTTCCACTAAACTCTGTTTAGAGCGCATCTTCAAAGGCTGGGGAGATGGAACTTGTTTGAACATTTTGTTAGACAACCGTCATTGCGATGCCATCATATCCATGCCGGGAGTAACGGGGAACCAATATTACTGTGATCATTGCGATGTGGGGTACCATCATGTCACAGAACATCGGTCCAAATGCCCTCATCGCTGTACCTATTGTTTAGGACCACACCCTCAATGTCCCGATGAAGGGATCAAGATTAAATGCCAGGAATGCCATGGAATGTTTAAGAACAGGACCTGCTACGAAGATCATTTAAAACCCCATAGTAAGAAAACCACCACTACTGTCTGCAATTTAATGGGGCTATGCGAGAAATGTCAGTCCTGGATGCCTAAGAAATTATTTCCTCATCACAAATGCGGAGATCAGAAACAGTGTAAGATCTGTAAGAAAATCGTCGATGCCGATCATCGGTGCTACGTACAACTGAAGCCCAAGAAGAAGAAGAAGGGAAAAGGCACCTTAGAGTTTACCATTTATTTCGATTTCGAATGCACTCAGGAATCGGGCATTCACGTCCCTAATCTGTGTGTGGCACATCGCGTCTGTCAACATTGCGATGACTTACCCATAGACCAACCTTGTCCTCATTGTCAACACATGGGACCCCGTCAGCACCTATTTCAAGGCCCAGACACCTTAAAGAAGTTCATGGACTGGTTATTTCAACCCACTACAGGTACTAAGAATTCCACTTTAGTACACGACGGGGCCATCGTCATCGCCCATAACTTCAAAGGATACGACGGACAATTCATTTTGAATTACATAGTGCATTCTTCTCCCCTGAAACCTAACGTGATCATGAACGGGAGTAAGATCTTGTCCATGGAAATATGTGGACTCAAATTCATCGACTCGTATAGTTTCTTAACCTTTCCTTTGGCCAAGATGCCCTCCGCTTTCGATTTGAACGAAATGAAGAAAGGTTATTTCCCTCACTTTTTTAATACGGAACAGAACCAGAATTACGTGGGACCTTATCCACCGGCAGCTTTCTACAATCCGGACGAAATGACTACCAGTGGACGAGAAGCTTTTTACGAATGGTACGACCAACAGAGGGGAAAAGTGTTTGATTTCCAGAAAGAGTTTGTAGGGTATTGTATCTCGGACGTCGACATTTTACACAAATGCTGTGCACGGTTTAGAAGCACCCTCAAGAAGTTGGTCAACGTGGACCCTTTCCAGGAATCCATCACGTTTGCCAGTGCTGCTAATTTAGCGTACCGTCGAAATTTCATGCCTAAAGACAGCATTGCCATCATTCCGAACCTCGGGTATGAACCGGCACGACAATATTCGGCCAAAGCCTGTCGATGGCTCACCTGGATGAGTCATCAGAATGGATGTCACATACGACATGCCAGAAACGGAGGCGAAGTCCCGATCGGAAATTATACCGTCGACGGATACCAGGAAGCGACTCGTACCGTCTACGAATTTTACGGATGCTATTGGCACGGATGCCCCACTTGCTATCCCAGTTTACAGACGGAAACTCATCCTCACCGGACCCAATTTACTTACCAACAATTACACGAGAAAACTCTCAGAAGGACTGCGGATTTAAAGGACATGGGGTACAACGTGTGTAGTATCTGGGAGCACGATTTCGATCAACAAGTGCAACAAGATCGTCAAATATGACGTCATCAGCCTTGACATGACGCAGCACAGGTGATCCAGA